CTGATCACGTCCTCGGGATCGGGCTAAGTCGGGCATGTCCCTCTACGGGGGGAATGCGCAAGAGTAGTCAAATCATAGTCTGGTGACGCTTCTGCGATTTTTCTTCTATCTCTGAATATGTTTGACTGGTGATTCTTCTTGTTCCAAAATCCACCTCCAGGAGGAAATGCCCGACCTAAGGATTGGAAGACGGGGGGCGCGGACCAGCAGCAGGTCCTGCCTCTCTCGAGCAGGACTCGCTGCCGGTGTCGCCGCAGACGTTGCCTCCCCAGTCGGCACAATCGTCGCCTGGCCAGGAGCGGCCGCTGCCGGTGTTGGACAACATTTGTTGTTGGGCACCGTCTCCATGCTTGCGTGGCATCGCTCGTACGTGTGCATTTTTCCTCGGCGAGGTCCATCGAGGAGCATCCTGGATCATCGAACAACAAAGAGGCACGCGCGAATCCGACCTGTGCACGGGGAGTGGACGTCCGAGCGACGGCAAAAGTCTGTCCGCTTCCACCGATTGGGGTGCCCGTCTGTAGCTATGTCGTGGGCGTCCTCTGCTCGGGCGCTTGGCAGCGTGCATCGGCGCAGATGTCCGCAATTAGTGATGCAGTCGGACGCCGTCTACAGTTAAGCCGGGCGTGTCCATGCACAGGAGGAATATTCAAACATAGGTTTGACAAAATATCATGATGACGATTCTTGTGATTCTTTGTGAGCGTGCTTTTGTATGTTCATTTCTCCCAGATGCGCCTGTAGGGGGGCACGCCCGACCTGCGTCTACAGGCGGGAGACGAGCTTGTCGCCCTGCTGACCGTGCTCCCGGTCAGCTGGCGCGGAGCCCGCCTCGCAGGGGCGAGAAGCGCAGCCCACGAGAAGCGTGCGACCCCTGTCGCATGCCGGCCCGCGCTGGAGGTCTATCACGCGGTGGTTGTTGTTGCCGGCAGGTTGCGTCGTAGGTTCGCCTGTCATGTCTGTCGGTGAGCAAGACGGGCCATGCCGCGCACAGTCGCGTCGGCATCGCGTAAGGACGCGACTGTGCGCGTGGATCGCGGAGGGGGGAGGAGGGAGGGAGGCAGCAGGACAAGGAGGGAGGAGGCGGCGGGAGCGGGCGGGGGTGCGGGGAGATGGGGCCGCGGGGAGCGAGAGAAGGTGGTGTGGGGGGTGGGGGGACGGGGTATAGGGGGGAGGGGCAGGGGAGAGGGGGGCGAGCGGAAGGAGGGACAACGGGGGGGGCGGGGGGGCAGAACCTGGGAGCGTGAGCGGGAGGTCGAGGGTGGGGGACGTGACTGGGCCGGGGGAGGAGGAGCGGGAGGTGACTTGGGGTGCGACGACGGGGATGGAGGAGGGTCGAGTGCGTCCATGTTCCACCCCCTCCGTCCACATCCCTCCTCCTCACCCTCCCTCCTTCCCTCTTCTCTCAATTCCCTCCTTCCCTCTTCTCTTGATTCCCTCCTTCCCTCCTCCTCACCCTCCCTCCTTCCCTCTTCTCTTGATTCCCTCGTCTCTCTCTCTCTCGCTCTCTCTCCTCCTCTCTATCTTAGCCCTTTGCCTTCCCAGAAGCGAGGGCGGGTCTCGCACGTCCAGAGCTTTTTGATCTCCCTCCAACGCTCTGCGCCGGTCCCCAGGGAGTGGAGGAGGAGGAGGAGGAGGAGGAGGAGGAGGAGAAGGAGAAGGAGAAGAAGGAGGAGGAGGATGAGGAGGAGGAGAAGAAGAAGGAGAGGAGGAGAAGAAGGAGGAGGAGGAGAAGGGGGTGCAGGAGGAGGAGGAGGAGGGGGAGGAGGAGGAGGAGGAGGAGGAGGAGAAGAAGGAGGGCGCCGCCTTCCCACCCACTGGCCCACGATCGTGCACTGCTGTATCGCCACCGTGCTCCGATCGCACCTGCGTCCTCGCAACCACTCTTCTCCCCCCCCTGCTTCCTCCCCTCCCTCCTCACAGCCATGCTTCGCACGGGCACCGTCAGGGGTGGAATTGGCTCAGGGGTGGCATCGGCCCCCAATCGCCCATTGATCGCCGATACGGCCTGATCGCCTACCCCGCCCGAAAACGTGTGGATTTGCCATCGGGAGCCTATCGCCGATTTGTCGGCGATGTATCGCCGATATCAGCTCGATGCTTTCCCCCCTGAGCTGGTCCCCCCCTCCATTGCTGCCCCTCCGCTTCCCCCCCCCCCCGCGCCCCCCGGAACGAGGCCAGCCTCGCCGCTGCCAGGGACGCGAGGAAGCGCTCCGAGCTGAACGCGCAGCTGCTGGGACCGCCCCGCCGCCGCTTTCCATGCCGCGGGAGAGCGGTGGCCCTGGATCTCCAGCGGCGCTGCCGCGCGATTCCGCCACCGCGCTCGGGCGGGCGCCCCAAGGGGGGTGGGGTGGGGGGTTCGGGGCGGGCGCCGGCGGGGTGGATGATCCACTGCACGTCCCTCCTCCAACCTCGTAGTTGGGTAAATGTCCTGCCTGGAAGGGCAAACAAGCAGGGACGTGATCACAGAAAGGAGCGCGTCTTGGGCTCGCTGCGTCGTGGGGGTGCAATCGCTGCTTCACATGCCGCGAGAGAGCCCGCAAGCGCGGTGGCGGAGTTTTCAGGAGAGGAGAAGGTACCAATACCAATAACGCTACCCCTATCTCGTGTCCGCATGTCTGGGCCTCCTGGGGGGACCTCGTCGCCACCGCTGGATTCGCCTTGAAATCCTGATCAGGACGCCACTGGGAGAGGTCCGGGGAGCAGCGGGATCGGAGGGAGGAGAAGCGCCACCAACACCACCAGGGGGCCCACCTCCAGCGAGGAGGTCCACGATGCCTCCCCGAGCTGGAGAGGTCTGTGGGCCACGATGCGTGTGGGAGGTGCCGAAGTGGACGGGAGGGCGGCATGCGAGCCCTGTCTCTGGGGCCGTCCGTGGAATGCTTCATGGGCTACGATCCGTTTGAGAGGTGGGTCGAAGTGAGCGGGGCAACACTATGATCCGCGCGAGGGGCGTGCCACTATGCGAACCTTGTCTCTGTGGGGCCCCCTGTGAGGCGCGATCCTTGTGGTGGGTGTGCCGACAAGGGCGGGAGAACGCTAGCCAAGCCTGTCTCTGGGGCTGCAGGTGGGGCTCCCTGAGGGACACGACCCTGCGACAATCTATGTCTTCCAATACCGAACACTCAAGACTACAACTAAAGCTTGCTATAACCTAAGCGCGCGAAGCGCTTGCGGGTTCCGTGTTCCGAACATCTGCGTGTGTATATATATATATATGTATACAAGTTTGCAGTGGCGTTTCGCGCCATGCACCTTGGTCCTTGAAGTTTGGCACGCATGCGGAATAGCAGGAAGGTCAAGCCGACAATTTAGCGATAATTCCTTGTTGGTTTTTTTTCCGGCATCGCTGGTATCATAATGTTATTCGTTATCCTTCCTCCATGTTTCTTTTCTTTTTGTTCGCCATACCCTACGCATTCCCCCCATCCTCCTCAGCTCTGTTTTGCGGAGGCTCCTCTCTGGAGAGCCTCTGGGGGCCTCACAAAAGTTGTTTCAGGTTTTCTTAAAGCCTTCAGGAGGCCTCCTGGGCGTATTCTGGGGGCCTCTGGTGGCTTCCTCGGGCCACCCTGCCTCCAGCCGCGGTCTCCCTGAACGACCCTGTCACGATTTGGAATGCTTCGGAGGGTGTCTCTGGGCCATCTTGGGCCGCCATGGGGCTCTTTGAGGGCCATCTTGGACCCGTGTTGTGCCGTTTTGGGGCTCTCTTGGACTGCTTGGGAGCCCTTTCGGATGATTGTGGGGCGATTTTGGAGCCTCCCATGCGGCTTCGGACGCCCAGAAGACCGCCGTCTTGGAGCGTCGGGAAGCCGAAAAGAGGAGAGTTCCAAACTTCACCAAAAACCCACAGAAAATCAGTGATTTTTGCATCGGGGGGCCTTCTTGGGCCTGCTTGGAGGCCTCTTTGGGGCCGACCTGGAGGCCTCTTGGGCCATCTTGAGGTCACGTCGGTCACTCTTGGAGCGCTCTTGTGCTGTCTTGGGGGCCTCTGGGACGTCTCCGATGACCCCCCTGATCGCTCTAGGTGTGGTGAGAAGGCTTGGCAAAACGCCCTGCGAGGCCCGGGGGCCGCTTCGCGGCCCGTCCAGAGGGTCCCAAAGCCCCAGATCCCGGGAGTCCGGTTTTTGGGGGGCGGGGGGTGACGGGTTTTCCCCCCGCCCGGGTTTGTAAAAATATATGAAGAGGAATATCGGAGGTTTGGGGGTGAGTCCGACGTGAAGCGGAGACCCCTCTTACCGGGGAATCGATTTCGGTTTCGGGTTCGTGTCGTGCGTGCCGTGCGTGCGTGCGGGCGATGCGAAGCTGCGTGGGCGGGCGAGAGGAAATCCTCCTGTGGTTGGGCCGCGGCTGGACCAAATGTAACTCCTCTGGCGGCCGGTGCCCCGCGGTGTCCCGCGGGTGTCCCAAAATCCTCCTGTGGCCGTGCCGCGGCCGGACCAAATCTAACTCCTCCGGCGGCCGGTGCCCCGCGGTGTCCCGCCGGTGTCCCGCGGGTGTCCCGAAATCCTCCTGTGGCTGGGCCGCGGCTCGGTCGACCACGTCGACCAGCGCTGATGTGAGGTTCGCGCGATTAATAAGCGCACGCGGGGACAGCGCTTCACGGCAATGTTGAGCGCGCCTCGCCAACATCGCCACATCACATTACGCTCGCGTGCACAATCACACTGCTCACTAGACTCCGCACCACAGGCATCGTCAGAACAACAATCACCACGTTTGCCCACTGCTGCCCCCCCAACCTCCTTATCACCCGCAGGGTGGTCGTAAAGGTATATGTATATATCTAGCTGATATAGATAGACCGTCTTATGTACCCCTTCCTCTCTTTCTGTCCTTGTTCCAACGTGTTTTTCTCACCCTCACGCGCATCAGCAGCCGGGGGTGCGCGCGGGAATGGCCGCTCTGCTACCGCCGGGCCCCTCGCAAGAACAAGCGCGTCTCCAGCTAACCGCATCGCGCTGCTCAAGCAGGAGGAGCAGAAGGCCTGGAAGATGATCGAGGACGGCCCCGGGCCCGGCCGAGGGCCTCCCCCCCTCGCGGCGGGCTCCAGCTCCCTCGACCCTCAGCTCGTCTTCAAGCTGTTGCTCCACGCCGTGCCCTGCCGATCCACGCCTACACGCACGCATGCATGCGCGTACACGCTCGCGCATACCGTTTCAAACAGGGCCTTGTCTTCGAGGATCAGAGGAGTTGACATCTCTTCCACCGCAGAAGTTGGCGGAACGGCGGCGGAAGGCGGCCGAAGCTCGGAAGGCGGCGGAAGTAAAGATGCGCCCCCACGAGATGAAAACGTTGTTGTGTTCAGAATTTTCGGAATCGGCCATACGCATCGACGCGTGCATGCACACGTATACGCGCCGCCGCAGCCGGCAGGCTTGTCTGCATATGAGGAGGCGGCCAGGGGGCCCGAGCGGGGGTCGTCATGGGACTGAGCCGGGAGGTTGGTTCAACCAGGCAGGAATTAGATTGTTGATGAGGTCGTTGTTTTCTGTTGGCATAAAACTTGATGGAACTGTTGAGCTGTTTCGTCAACTTGGAGTGCAAAGCTGACGATTCTTGCTAACGGTGAGTACAGATAGTAGATGACGTGTCCCCATGGCCCCAGGCATGGGACAACGTCACGCAGGGAAGCCATGGACCTGCCCTACAGCAGCAGCGCAGCATGACTTTCTGCCCCCCGCGCGCCCAGCAACTCGGTGCTGCATCCATTCCTGGATGGCCTACGCTGCCCAGACTTCCACGGGCGGCTTGTGCGAGGCTGGGGCCCCGGGTGTCCCGGGGTCTCGGCTCCACCTCCCCGCAGGAGGCCGTCTTCCGCTCGCCTGGGGGCCCGCGATCGACCCCCAGAGGCTGGCATAGGAGGGAACAGCGCAGCCATCGACAAAAGTAAACTAAGCATAGCCCGAAGTTTAAGGAGGGCCCGCCCCTCTTCAGGAGGAATATATAAAAATAGTTCAACACAAGTCTGGGGACGTTTTTTTTGTTTTTCATATGTTTGACTCTGCTTGAGCATTTTGGGGGCATTGTTGGTTTTTCGTCCAAAATCCGCCTGTAGGGGCACATGTCCGACCTAATAGGAGGGGAAAGCGCAGCCATCGACAGACCAAACAAAACACAACCCGAGGTCCAGGGGTGGCTGCACGGCTCTTCGGCAGGCTGGCCGTCATGGGCGCGGCCAGTTTCTTGGGCCGGTGGCCATGCTGCTGGCCGCTGCCGTGGGCCGGGCCACGCCCGACGTCCCTCCGCCCAGGCCCCCCGCCGTAAGTCGGGCACATCCCTCTACATGAGGAGCATTCGAGAATACAAAAAATAGTATTTGGACGATGTTTCGATTAGTTTTGGACTGGTTTTGAATATTGGTCGGCTTTTTGTTTCCCCTTTTGTTTCCCCCTGACATGTCGCCCCAAAGCCCAGCCCCCGCGGGCAGGCCGTCGAGCTTCGAGCTTCGAGGATCGAGTCTGTGTTGTGTGTTTTTCCCAACACTCCCGTGGTTGAGGCACTCGTTTCGAACAGTGCAGTGTGGTGGCGTCCTTCCTCCCTCCCCCCTATCCTCCTCCACTTCCTCCTCCTGCGCCTCCTGCGCCTCCTGCCTGCAGGGACATCATCAGCAGTATCATCATCATCATCATCATCATCATCATCATCATCATCATCATCATCATCATCATCATCATCGTCGTCGTCGTCGTCGTCGTCGTCGTCGTCGTCATCAGTATCATCATCAGTATCATCATCATCATCATCATCATCATCATCATCATCATCATCATCATCATCATCATCCTGAACATCATCATCATCATCATCATCATCATCATCATCATAATCATCATCATCCTGAACATCATCGTCATCATCACCACCATCATCATCATCATCATCATCATCATCGTCATCATGGTTATCATCATCATTAGCACCGCCATCATCATCGTCATAATCATCACCATCATCATCAGCAGCATCATCATCGTCATCGTCATCGTCATCATCATCATCATCATCATCATCATCATCATCGTCATCGTCATCGTCATCATCATCAGCATCAGCATCAGCATCAGCATCGTCATCATCATAATCATCGTCACAATCGTCATCAGCAGTAGCAGCAGCATCAGCATCAGCATCAGCATCAGCATCAGCATCAGCATCAGCATTCGCATCATCATCTTCATCATCGCCTGATACTTGTGAGGTTTTGATCTGCGCAACTTTCGCCACTTTCGGGGGGTCCTGGGAAGGCCAGCGGAGTGGTGTCCCACGCACACCCAGACGAGACCTCGCGGCTCTCGGGGGTGCTGCGATCTGCTCAACTGTCGCCATTTTCGAGGACTTCTGGGAGGGCCAGCGGAGTGGTGTCCCACGCAAAACGAGAGTTCGCGGCTCCCGGGGGTGGCTGCGATCTGCGCAATTGGAGGCTTTTTGGGGGGCTGCGATCTGCGCACTTGTCGCCACTTTCGTGGGTTCCTGGGAGGCCCGGCGGAGCCACGTTCTACGTAGACCAGAAAGAGGCCTCGCCGTTCCTTGGGAGCTGCGAGCTGCGCAACTTTTGCCACTTTCGTGGGCTGCTGGGAGGGCCAGCAGAGTGGTATCCCGCGCACACCCAGACGAGACCTCGCGGCTCTCGGGTGGGCTGCGACCTGTACAATTGTCGCCACTTTTCGTCGGGATCGTTTGCGCGTAGGAAAAAAACAACAACCCAGATTTGCCCACGTGTATTTCGCCGAGCTAGGTATGAACTTCGAGCCGACAGGAAATTTGCTTTGGGGCCGTGCATCAAGAAGGTTTCGCCTTCGAATGCGCAGCAGAGCACGTGCACTTGATTTACACACGTCGACACCCATACACATGTGCACACAAACACATGCACGCACATATACAAGGACGCCAGTTTGCGTCAGTAAACCGCTACACACACCAAGTAAGGACACCGATTTGCGTCACCAAGCCGGGACACCGAGATGTAACAGGAAATTGTTTCGCATGCACCCACACAATGATCAGGGACACCGATTTGCGTCAGTACAATGGTCAAACGCATGCGCACGCATGCACGGATACACACACACACGCACGCACGCACGCACGCCCGCACGCGCGCCCGCACGCGCGCACGCGCACGCGCACGCGCACGCGCACGCGCACGCGCACGCGCAACACACACGCGCACGCGCACGCGCACGCGCACGCGCACACACACACACACACAACACACACGCACACACTAACACACACCACACACACACACACACACGCACGCACGCACGCACGCACGCACGCACGCACGCACGCGCACACGCGCACACGCACGCGCACGCGCACGCGCACGCGCATGCGCACAGGCACACGCGCACGCACGCGCACACGTGCACGCGAACGCGCACGCACGCACACACACACACAGACATCCTCGCAGGCAAGCGGTAGTCCATCGGACCTGGTGAAACACCATCGTGTGTGCTTGCGACCGTCTCTTCCGCCCACTGGGGTGTTTGCATCGACGCTCTGCGCAGATCATCATGAGACCTCGCAGTCTTTGGGTTTGCAAACTGCGAAACTGTCGCCACGTTTGTGGCTTCCCAGGGGGCCAGCAGAGTGATATCCTACGCAGATCAGAACGAGACCTCGCCTTCCGCGGGGGCTGTTTTGGGGATAGTATTGGTTTGTGGTAGTGTTGCCCCTACCGCGAACCTTCCCCAAACGGTTTCGATGCTTCACCCCTGAAGGAGGCAGACTACCAGACGCCCTCCTGTGCATTCGAACGCATCCCCATCGTGATCTACCGGGCAGTCTGGGGGACCTCTTGCAGTTGAAGCCCACGTGGGCCCGAAAGTCCTTGCTCTCTGACCTGCGGCAGATGGCCGCCGCCGACAGCAAGAAGGAATGAAGTCTTATTGTGGCACGCCTTTGTGCTTCGAGCTTCAGGCCACCAACCGCTTCAGGGACCCGCGCCTCGCAGAGCTGATGAATTCCATGTTCAAGCCGAAGAATGGCAAGGTGCGGGTCAGCATCGCCGATATTTGGAGACGCATCCAGCTCTGGGCGGACGACCCAAGGTTGGCCGAGGAATGGTTCCAGACGGGGCACATGCTCGCATGGTAATGGGACGCAGTGTCTCGCTGGATGGTCCTGCGCGTAAGGAAGGATGCCCAGACTCTGAGACAGGTCCTCTATCTCCTGCAGGCCGCTGGCGCGTCCCGCCAGTGGACATGGCCGCGAATCTGCTGAGCCAGGTGAACCTTGGCGAAACTGGCGGCATGCATGGGATTTTCCCGTTGCACTGAGTCGTGCGAGTTCGTCTGATGGAGCACCTGGACCTCGAGCGGGATCTGGTGGAGGACGCCGGGGGCGAAATCGTGCACGTGGCCATCCGCCCCCACGGCGAGGAAGAAGTGGAACGTGCGAGGGCCGAGTTCCGCCCCGCGTGCCTGCGCTACTTACCCTTCGGCGTATGGGTCCGCATGGACAAGTACAGGGCCGCCCCATTTTCCGAGAGCGGTTGGCAGAGCACGCAGAGGGGGTCGACGTTGCGAACGCAGAGCAGCTCGTCTTTATCGAGCCGCAGACGTCGCCACCCCGTAACTCCCGCAACTGTACAAAGTGACTCGCACGAGCCTGCAGATTTTCCCACGCCAAATGCGCTTACATCGACGTCTTGCCAGGGACGGGCCATGCACGAGGGCGTCATCATCGACGCCAGATGCAAACAGGATGGCACCATGGAGTATATATGGCTCCATTTGTACGTCAGGTTCTCCAGGGCGACAGCGTCGGACAATTTGCTCGTTATTGGAGATCTATGCCTTGATTTTTTACCCCGGGGGGCCACCAGCGGACCTGGCTGCCCGCCTTCGGACGTTCGGCAAGCGCACGGAACGGTGCAGGAAAGAAGCCGCAAACTTAGCGCATGAGTTTGGCTTGGCGACATCCCTGCGTGACTGAAGACGGCGTTCGCTGGCGGCCCCAGGTGCGTTTGCATTGTCGTTGCTACTTCAGT